GATATCAATAAATATACATACGATGTTTTGCTGGTTTATTCATACCCTTTAACATTGTCATCCAGATTCATTATCCATTGACTGTTTGTTTAGCCAAATGTGGATAAAGTTTCCATTAATTTTGATGAACTAGCGACTTTTGCAAAAACCGAGTTTTATTTGTATATTTATACTACTTGTATATACCTAAAGTAGTCAGACTATGTAGTTAAACAGAATTGGCTTATTGAATCATCATTAGAAGTTCACTATACTTTCATTAGTTAGTAAGTTGATGTCATTTATGTAATCAACACCGATTTAAATCTAATCTTTCCTCTACTACTAATGAAGATTAATCTGATTAAAATAACATTTTATAAGTAGAGCTGAGTAGTGGCTAGCAGTGGAATTCGCGACACGTTATATGTACCTGTACTCAAGTGTTGTTAGTCAAACAGAGTCGAAACAGTAATTCTTGCTTCAAAGACCTAATGCATTATCCACTTAGCTGCTAAGTCCAAATACCCACTGGCTTTTGGAACGATATGCATTATAATTCATTTTTATTGTTTATTTGAATCTTCTCATTGAAGTTATAAACCGAAAATGACTAGTCGCTTTTGGTACGTACATTCACATTACGAGACCTGAATAAAACAAAAAGCGCGTTAGTTTCTATCTTCCCATTGTCACTTAAGACTGTAATTGAGTGAACATCAATTCTGAAATGCAGCTACATCTAGCTGACAAGTTACAAATAGGACGAAACGCGCATTGTGAATTCCACTGTTAGCCACTATTCATCTTTACTTACAAAGAATAAAAACGGAACTATTTTATTTATTCAATCGTTATTAAATTTAGTGATTTATTAATTATTATGCCTTTGAGAGTTGACTTTCTCTTTAGCTGTTTATCTCAATGTAACTACAATGTACACATGTATATGTATGTAAATATTAAAACAAAATAACTTCCCCCCCCCCGAAATAGGTTAATCGAATTTCGTACGCGCATACACTCTTGTTCACCTGTCCGCCAACTAATTTCGAAAACATGTTAGTTACTTTAAACAATACTCAGGTATCAATATAATTTCCTTCAAAGAAACTGGGATTTTTTTATTATCGTTTGTTTGTTAGCTTTATGTTTTCTCTGTGAATTTCTATGGAGGAGGTGAGGAATCTAAGTAATAACAATAATGTTACTAAGGGTTACAAAAACAGAACAGAAATGAAAATTAATGCTCATAAAACGAGAAACAAAACAATTTGAAATTCGTACCGTTTATTTAGCTTAGTCGTTTGTCCATACCTTTGTATGTGTATATATGTTTGCTTGTAACTATGTATCCATGTGTTAAGATAGGGATAATGTTGAGTACAGCATTCATAATAATAAGAAGAATGAGAATGATCTTTAAAGAGTAATTTCGATTTATTAAATGAATACCTGCATACACAGAAATATATTCAAATATTTCTGGCTAAAAAGATGAACATAAACAGAATATATTTGATGAATGATGACTGACAATGGAAACCAGGATACATGTTTCGTCCCATTTTGAACTTATCAACTCGATATACAGCCAACATACACTCACAGACTCGAATTCAATGCTGTTTGCCCGAAACATCATTGTGTCTATCAACTTAGCTACTAAGTTCAGATAGCTACTGGCTTGTGCAATAGGGTGAAGTGTTGTTCATTTGTATTTGTCCCAGAATAAATATTGATTTTGAGACTCAGGTATATCCAGCTGATGAGTCCCAAATCAGATGAAACACGCATACTGGATACCAGTGCAAGCCATCATCCATCTCTTAATTAAAAAGAATTTTGCTTGTGACCTAATGGCAAATATTGAGGGATTCTGCCAATAATGTACACATGCTGAATAGACTGATCAACTACAGTTCTAGACATCAATGGAAATATTTATATAACTATATACATATGAATATTATGAAGAGAAATTAAGGGATTTCACAACTATTATTACTCATATTACTACTATATTCACATTATTTTACTACTGCGAAGCTGACACTCCTCAAATTAGAAAGGTTATTTTAAATCGAAGTAATTATTATGTTGATGCACAATATAAATTCTTTGAAAAAAAACAATGATAATTCAAACACAAGCAAACATCGTTCATCAACATCCACAATGTCAGTGATTATGCTCTCGATTTGAATCAATATTCAATCAACAACAACACTTATTCACACATCCCAACATCGCATAAACACACACACACACAGATAACTCATTCGAATATGCATTACTAGCAACACGATACATTCTACTGAACAACTCACTACAAATTCAAAATCATTATCAACATTTCTCATAGTCACTAGCAATAAAGACAAAATGATCAACCAATTCATACATTCACTTGTCAATCTACCACAAACTCATCAACATCACATCATTCATTATCGGAAACACATCAAACATCAAACTTCGATCACAACGATTGCACACTCATCACCACAATGCATTACTCTCACATTCCAATCTCCATCAATCCAATCATTCACATTCTCACAGAAATGAATTAAGTTGGTGTTACTCTAAACATTCTCACTTGTCCGTTCGTTATTGCATCACACTCACTATTGTAAAATAACTCACTGTTCATTCACTAGATCACTGATACATGTTGCAGTGTGATTTCCATCAACCACGACATTGCAAGCATGTAGAGTTGTGGTTGAGTGTTCTCAGTGAATATTTCAGATGACAGCAGTACAACATACTGAATAAAATAACACAAATATGATGATGATGATGATGATGATGAAAGTGGGATATTGAAATGAAATTTCTAATGGAACCACTCTCACATACAGCCACTCATCAACTCAATGAATAAATGAATGGATGAAAAGTGAAAACGTTGTGAATGGTTCTATAAACCAGCTATCCATCACCATATTGCGAAACTGTCATTGTGATCGTAACGAAATGGACGATCATTGAATGTGAGTGACTGTTACCTCTGTTACTTTTGTACTGATATAATCGATGAAATAAATAGGAATGGAGATGATTATGATTGATGAAATATATTTGTGTTGTAGTGTTGTAATGAAAATGATAGTTTATTGGAAGAATACGTGAAGTTGTGGGTGGATTTAAGGTCGTTTGTATTTGACGTCCATGTAGTGAATAAAGACTGATGGTGTTCTGTTATGTCATGAGTAGGAAAGTTTCCAGAGAAATTTTACTCAATGATTTTAACAATTTAATGTTTAAATGATTGAAATGGAACGACTGTACTCTATTGTTGAATGTCTTCTATTTTAGTTTTGACTAGATAATTGTGAGGACGACCCTCAATTGAACTCAAGGAAGCTCTAGTTTATTGAAATAATAATGTTTACTAAAGTCTTTAAATACTAGATATTTTACGCTGTTGATAAGTAAATCACCTCAAGCTGATCTGTTGTTGGGTATAAGTGTGTATGTTCATTTTTCTAGGTATGTTTTAATCGTTATTATACAACTCCTACTTTCATACATTTTAATTAGATCGATTGTTATAACCTTGATTACTGTAGGAAAAGAATTAGTAAATTAATATTTCCCACTAAGTTCGTGAATCGATCTATGCTGTACCAACATTGAGAGCCTGTAAGCACTGGATAGCCGTTTCGTCCTAGTATGAGACTATTTATTATTGAGCGTCCGTGACCCTTCGATCTTCGGACTGTCGGTCTCACGCGAGAACGCTTAGTGTGCGGATCAGTGATCTGTCAATCAACGGTGTTAATGTCTAATTTCAATGAATCCACGATATTGCGTGACCGTCTTCCATTGTCTTCGTTGGGTGACTTCTTCACACGTTACACGATTTAGCTCTACTCCCCACAGCTTCGCATGTCCTCTCGAAGCTATTCATCAGTGAGCACACGATACTAGTCATGATCTTGATGAAATTCAATAAATTACACGAAGTCCTACCAATGATATCCAAAAATTTTATTAAAAACTTTTAACTTAATTAAGATATCGAAATAATCCATTCACAATGTACATAAGTCCCAACAGAGACTAATCAACTTTATTTCCCAATATAAGACAATATAAAATCCTTATAAATAATTGATTTCACTTGCATTATTCTAATTAACTTTCCAAATTACAGTTAAACAAACCGTGCCATTCAATGTTTCATTATACTAATTATTCATATTTCGGACGACCTTTGAACGACACCATACTGACCTTGAGAATATCCACCTACTAATTAGGATTAAATGAGAGTTATAATTTTATTTATTTAATTATTTGAACACATAGGTATTGGTACAAGGAGGCACCAGATACATATGCGCCACATAAATCTCATTTGATTTCTATGAGGGCTGTGATACTGACCGGATGCTCAAACCGAAACAGATGGTTTACTTTGGGGGCCACACTTGGAGCCTTCGACCTAAAAGTCTAATCCACAAGGCAGTAGAGCATCGTAAGGAGATGCGATCTCATGGTAGCCGGTGACCAACGTTTGGTTCATACGCTATTTTTCCCTCAGGATACTGGAACCCATGAGGGTTGTAAACTATTATGAGTAACTAAAATTATAATTAAGATTTGGATTTAAGGTTTTCATCATGATTGAAAATCAACTAAAATGTCAAAACTCAATTTAACCAAAATGAATGACTGAATTTCGCGCGGCAAAATTCATGACCTTCTAACTTAAATCTGATTGGCTCATTTATAAATTATAGTCTCGCCAATTTATCTAACTACATTTTGATTAGTTGATGGTATAAGACAAATTAGTGATTGTAACTTTGGAACAAAAATTATAATTTTCATTGATGTACGTAAAACGGTAATGATTTTCAAGAAGAAAAAAAAACAAAAAAAAATAGGAAAGAAAATTTAAGGAAATTTATACATTTCTAATAAACAATGTAATATTTAAACAATAATCTATGCATAGCAACCGATTTAACACAATTAAGGGAGGTGTTTAATACATGGAATTTAAAGGAAAAAAGAAATGAATTTTATTCATAATAATAATAATAATGAGTACAATGTATTGCGATCCTCATGTACAACTGCTAGTAATGAAGACAATGATGGGATTTATTCAGATGAAACAGAGAGTATGATTAATCATGCAAGAAGTTCACCAATGAATGTTAGTATAGATACAATTGCAAATACAATTAGGATAACACCACCACCACCACCATCAACAGCAATAACACCAACAACAACACCACCGTTGACATCAAAAAGTAACACTGATGATGATGATGATGATCATAGTGAACGACATGTTAATCATAATAATGATACTAATTCACATACAACTATTGATGAAGATTTAATGACTAGTTATGAAGCTTCAATTGATACAGAATATAACAATAATCATTATGAGTTACATAATGAATTAATGCATAAATCATTTCCAATCAATTCACTTAATTCAATGAAAAAACCAGAGAAACAAGTAACATTTCAAGATATTGTTGAAATTTCAACAATTTATTCTATTACAAATGAATCACAAGAGTCCATTTCACATCATTATGAAGATGGTGATGATGATGATGATGATGATGATGATGATGATAACGATGAAGAAGATGATTACAATGACGATGATGATGAAGAAGAAGAAGAAATGAAAATAACGAAACAGAATAGTGTAAATAAAAAACTAAAAAATCGATTGAAAAATGTAATTAATTCCAATGATCATAATGTTGAATTAGTCATAGCAACAATAGAACAAAATAACAAACATAATTCAGATAATAATAATAATCAGATTCTTTCAGAAAAAGATTTATTAAGTGTAAGTGATAGATTAGAGTTTTTTTTTTTTTTTGAAATTATACTCATTCATTATGGTTAGCAACTGATTTAATGTTTATCTAGTCTACTATATTACTAATTAGACATGATGAATAGCCTTAGTGACTAGATTACTGTTATACATAGAGATTAGATTCTTTCTCTACCGCTTACTACTTCAGCACTCAAATACTAGAACCTACCATGTCACAAAAAAATGGTAGAAGATGAATGAGGAGAAATATTATTTCAAACAGTGTCGAATAAGATACAAAACATTCAGTTATTTATAGTTCTTAGTAGAAACGAAATCATCATTAAAGTCATCCTATCCATGTGAAATGGCTTTTAACATTTGTTTAATCGGAAAGCTACATGTTGAAATTTTGGAATATTCTTCCAAAAAAGAGTGATTGAATGGAATGTCTTCAGCTCTTTCTAAGTTTCTTAGAACTTCCTTGAGTTCAATTGAGGGTCGTCCTCACAATTATCTAGTCAAAACTAAAATAGAAGACATTCAACAATAGAGTACAGTCGTTCCATTTCAATCATTTAAACATTAAATTGTTAAAATCATTGAGTAAAATTTCTCTGGAAACTTTCCTACTCATCACATAACAGAACACCATCAGTCTTTATTCACTACATGGACGTCAAATACAAAATACCTTAAATCCACCCACAACTTCACGTATTCTTCCAATAAACTATCATTTTCATTACAACACTACAACACAAATATATTTCATCAATCATAATCATCTCCATTGCTATTTATTTCATCGATTATATCAGTACAAAAGTAACAGAGGTAACAGTCACTCACTTTTTCAGTAATTCAAATGACTCGCATTGAATTATCATCCATTTCGTTGCGATCACAATGACAGTTTCGCAATATGGTGATGGATAGTTGGTTTATAGAACCATTCACAACGTTTTCACTTTTCATCCATTCATTTATTCATTGAGTTGATGAGTGGCTGTATGTTAGAGTGGTTCCATTAGAAATTTCATTTCAATATCCCACTATCATCATCATATTTGTGTTATTTTATTCATACCCCTTAGAAGAACTGTCAGTAATTGAACCCAGGATCTTCAAAGCCTGAATATAAGTCCTTACTATAAAACACATTGACTCAGTTTTCATTAGTACATTTTCAACTCAATTGATTTACTTTTTGAGCCCGATAATTATCTAATGCCATTTAGTAACTTATCTCATTCTCGACATGTTATTACCTCAATCGTAACGGTTTCTCACTAGAACGTTGGAAATATCATGAAGTAATCCACTAGTTAACTGATCAACATAGTTTAGTTGTAGGGATTTTGTGGATATCGGTTAGATTTTTTAGTAATGCTTTTTGCGTTACCAGAGTGGTGATTGATGGAGTTGAAATATGTCGAGTGTGCTACAGTTCTCAATAGTTGCATTAGATAATCATCAAGTTATATTGGAACTTGATTGAGTTGAAATTAGGTGAAATTAGGTCAAGCCTCCTCAACGTCACCAGAAAGTTTTTGTTTTGATTCCTGAAAAGGTCGTGGATGCGCACTAGTAAGAGGTCTCTTGCTAGGGCGAAACAGTTATCCAGTACTTTCTTTTCTTCAGTGGTACTCTTACAAAGATCGGCTTGTGACTAATACAACCTATAAATCAAACCAATCTCAAAAAACTCATTTAAATCATCCGTTTTCAGTTAACGTTTGATAGACTACATAATCAGTATTCATTTAGATATCTTTATTAAATGTTTCCAATATTGTAAGATTGCTTGTTATCAGACAAACAATATTCCTTAATTGCCACCCCGCGAGACTCGAACCCAGTCCTATCAGTCTCGCGCACGAGCACTCAACCACTAGATCACTAAGCCGACCGGCATCCTTCGGTGTTAATGTATAACTTCAACTGATCCACGAATTGAACGACACACCTACCATTGTCTCCAGTGATTTACTATCTCACAATAGACCCGGTTGAACTCTACTAGTCACTGCTTCTCACTAGAACTTCAAGAAATACCTCTTGGAGACCGTCGCTAGGACCTAAAAGTCCTGAGTTCGGATCTCGCGAGGCGGGATCACGGATGCGCACTGCTGAGGAGTCCCATAGTAGGACTAAACGGCTTCCATGTTTTCCATGGTGGTCTAGTTTTAAATGACTCATGATTTCATCTATTAAAATTACTATAATATCCACAAAACCTCTTCTGATAATTTTTGTCTTTCTCTATGTATGTTGAATAGTTTCAAATGGTAACAATTAAGTTTGAACCATTGATCTAACTTTAACCTCACTTGTATTCATCATAGAAGTTTGATTTTATTTATTTTGTCACTCTACCAAGGGAAAACATAAATAGATTTCTTAGGTAGAATACAAAACTTATAATTAGATCGCCCACAACATGAGATATTATTATACTCTACGAACCTAAGGTATACTAAACTCACTATGCAAATAAGGACATTGAAATGAGTAGGGTTGTTTAATTGCCAGATCGAAATATGATCCTTACAAATCATTAATATATATCTATTTATCCTTCGGGCTCAAACAAGGATATGTTAACTAAAAACTTGAGTAGGTACATAACTAATTGACTCCAATTTCTCACCTACCGACTGACCTTGGAAGTTAATGTGAGCACAAACATATGACATGTCTTTACATGCCCAACCATTCACACAGATACAAACCACATTGCAACTTGACAGGCAGAATTTTACTAGACAATATCAAATTGATTTCCAATCAACATTTCACTCCTACAGAAATCACTCATGTTTTTAATAGTTCAGTATTAATAGCTTTGATTGAACAGGATAAACATACATTGAGTGACAAGGATTTCGAATTCCATACGGAACAATAGTTCTATCAAAATTAGAGATATACATTGCTGACGATTATCAACTGATAGATATGGTGTCTCTTCAAGTTACCTAGTCATATGATTTATATTCATGGAACGAAATTGATTTTATCTGTTATAATGGTAATAATCGTTTCTACACAGTAGATGAATCTAGTACGGCAGTTTCACCATCCTAGCAACTTATTATAGTGAAAATTAATAGAGAGATACAGATCCACGTTGCCTTGACTAGTACCAATTGAGACAAAACACTCTTTCTGGACTCCACAGCTAGTTATCCTTAAAAAGAATTTTGTAACCAGTGACCATATTTAGACAATTTGTATAGGATCCATGCAAATGTCAATAAAGACTAATTAAAACTTGAATACCAATCACGAGAAAATGCATACTGCTACTAATCATGAGTTGAATTAGTTTATTGGCCTAAATGCTTATCTTTACATAATTCATGAACAACGGTTTGTTCAACAGAGTCAATGGCATCATCATTATTCTTCATTTACTTACAAAGAAGAAAGAGATTCGAAGTCAATCGAGTGCTTTCATTTGTTATAATTGAGGCGAAATGAGTAGAGAGGAATCTTTCCATCTTTAAATAGACTAACATGTTACATGGTTTATGTCATTTCACTAGTCTCATTATAGTTCATCCAAATTTTTGTAGTAAAAACTTTCGAAAGTCAAATCATATTTATAGGATTATGACGAATTAGTTACACTTCCCTCAGTGTATATATACATATAAATCAATCTGATCACTACAAAAATTTTCCTGGTCAGTAGTGAAATCGAGCTTTTTGTAATATTCTAGACACATTTGTCAAATTCATTTGGTTTTCTTTTCGTGTTCTTCTCTTTGTTGCCAACTACTAAACCTTATCTACTTCGTTTTTCACCGCCAAGTCAACTTAGTTTAGACATGCAAACACACACAGAGAGATATGCTTATTGTTTTACACATTGGATAAATGCATGTCAATAAGAATGAGCCTATGACTAATAGTTTATTGAAGCTGTCATCAGTAAAATTTAGAGAAAAAAAATAACTTTCGTTAACACAATGCACGTAATCTATATTTATACCATCCCTCCCCCTCTTTCGCGTGCGCTCTCTCTCTCTCTCTTTCTCCCACTCTATCTGTCTTACACAAATCTGCAAATATGCATAAGTGTAGTTTACACTTGATCTTAGAAACAAACAAACAAACAAACAAATAACCTAGTGAATAAACGATTAAATTCTCTACTAAATAAAACAAAACAAAATTCTATTATGCCTTTTTTTTCTCTAGAAAATAATAATAAATTACAAAAAGAAAATTAATAATTTTCTGAAGTGGGTGGGGAGAAAAAGGAAGGGGGGAGGCCGACGAAGTTGGCGATAAATGTTCAATCGGTATTACTATATTGAAACTATTGATTTTTAAGCGCGCTTATACATACCAATTATCAATTGATCAATAAGCATAAAAGGTTATATTTTGTTGTTTTTTGTTGTTGTTATTTGTTTGTTTCCGATATAATAAAATAGTAACTAATGATAATAATGATAATCATAACAGTGAAGCATGGTGATTGTCTTAAATGTGAATGTTTATTTAATTGCCTTATGGATAACAAAAAAATAAGGGGGCAGTGGAGTTCAAACGGGTCAGTTGTGAGATAGGAACTCACTGATGACAATGATGGATGTGTCGCTCAATTTCCTGGATTAGTTGAAGTTAAACATTAACACCGTCGGATGACAGCCGGCTCAGTGGTCTATTTGGTTAAGTGCCTGACGCGAGACTGATAAGTCCTGTGTTCGAGTTTCGCAGGGTGGTGGGATCGTAGATGCGTACTGCTGAGGAGTCCAGTGCTTCTAGGTTTCCCATGGTGACTTAGCTTCAATTGACTTATGATCTCAACTGTTGGAAATAAATCCACCTAATACATTTTACTTGTATTTTCATCATTTATGATATAGTATATAGATGGTGAAATTACGGTGAGATTGTAATTTGTAAACAAACCAATGATAGTATGTCTTAGATACGAGTGCAATATTCACTTATTCATATAGTTAAATAGTACATTGGCATTATAGCTGATATCAGTTTATAATAATGAA